TTTCTTCTATTGTTTATTCTAAACTTGAAATTCTGTCTTGCATCTCCTGCATTCTGTTGTTGTTGCTTGCATCTGGTTTTCCTGATCTCTTCCCTAGATTTTCAGTCTCCAGAACTTCCTTGGTTTGAATTTTCTTTATTGTTTCTATTTCCACTTTTAGTTCCTGTAAAGTTTTATTTATTTCCTTCCCCTGAGAATTGTATTTTCCTGAATATCTTAAGCGATATATTTGTTTTCTTTTTAAAAACCTCTACCTCTCTGATTGTGTTTTCCTCTGTTTTTTGAGGGATTTGTTTATTTCTTCCTTAATGGCCTCTATCATCTGTACAAGATTGGGATTAAGGTCATTTTCTTATGCTCTATTTATGTTAGGACAACCAGTATGCTGCAGTACGGTGAAGTTGTCAGATTGCCTTGGTTTGTGTTGATTGTATTCTTTGAAGCACCTTCAGCCATTTGCCAGGATATATTTCATAGATATGTCTATTGTAAAATGTACTGGGAAGGGGCCTAATCTAAATGGTTCTGGTGCAGCAGGCCTCTGATGGGTATCCTTGGCCTGTATGGTTCTGGATCAGTGTGTCTGATAAATACAGGGTGAGGGATGGTGGAAAAATGGAGGTCATCAGGGAGCTTAAGACAGCTGAGTGTGACCCAGTGGACTCAGCAGACAGGGAAGATGAATACAGGAAAATCTAATCTCTCCACTTCTGATCTTAATGATAGTTCTTCATCAGAATTTTTTTCTGCAATGATTATGTCTGATCATGTGCCAATTTTTGAGCATATATATATATATATATATGGTATATATATATCATATATTAGATACAATATATAATTCTACATATTATATATTAATATGAGTCATAATTCTACATATTAATGTATGAAATTCTGAGGCAAGAAAATAATATTTAAAATTATAATTTATTTTTAACATTATACAGTTTATAATATATAGTAATAATTACACCTATATGCACATTCTAAATAAGTATGTTATATTACATATTCATGGTTATATTTCTTAATTGTAAGCATGCCTTTGTTCCCTCTACCATTTAATTTTCAGTAAGAATAAATCTATCTTACATGCCATTGGGAACTGTGACATTTATTTTTAAGTAAGGTTAAATTTTGAAAATACATTTAATTTAGTAATGCTGTTAATTTATAAGATTTCAGTAGGTAATTTCTCTAGAATATTTAGGTAAACAGGTTATATTTCCAAGAGAAGGAAACTGAATTTCCTTGAAACTGAACTGATAATCTTAAGTAGATACCAAAAAGTAGAATAACTCCTAAGATTAGAGGATTATCTAGTCATCAGTGTGATACAGTAGCCTTGGCCCAGGAATGCCATAGCATGCTACTTCAATGCATAAGAGCTGATATATATGTTCTCAACTTCTCAATTAAGCATAAGGGAAGATTACTGGAGTGTGGGATGGCACAATAATCTGCCCTAGTTGGACCTAGTAGACACAATACAAATTGTTTTCCAAAATAATTATTATGTTGTTTGTCAACTGAGTAATTAGACTAACTTGTTAGACATTTTTTATTCTGATTTTTTTCCATGACACTAGTTTAACTTACCATTTTACTTTGGAAGCATATAACATGTTTAACTTAATTAAGATACTGTTAGAGTGTCTTCTATATAATTTAACTAAACTTTTGAATTTATGTTGGAAAGAATGAAGATTATTTGAATAGATTAAATTTAGCTTTCATGTGATAAGTTTAAAAATAGGTGGAATATTTTAATTTGAGCATGTGACCTACTAATACAAGTGTTCTGCTATGGGACATAATTGAGAAGTTATTTTTAAGAGACTATTAATAACATAAGGATTTTGGAAGGGAATTTGTGAGATGATGGTAAATTCTCTATCAGAATTTTCTGTCTTTTACAATGTGAGAAAACCATGTGATATTTTCCTGTTTGACAATGTACTGAGATTAATGAAAACACTCTCAGTGATTGCAGAAATTGGTGGGACCGATTATAGTACACACCTGAAGATAATGACTCCCACTCTCCCAGAATCTTTCAGAAACCAGTAATTCAGTATTTTAGAGTATATAGTGAGTCCTTCCTCAATTAAGTAGAATCAGAGAATAGTTAAGTATACAACAGTCATACCACAATTGCACCAATGAGTACATCTTACTTGCAAGTTTGGTATTATAGTTTGTAGAATTAAAAGCTGTTTAAAAATGATGTCTTTTCCCTCATCAACCTCGAAAGGACCATCTAGTACTGTTTAACCTAGTAGTTATCAAGAGAAAATATCCAGAATAGTTCAGCTTGATTTTTCAATACTATGTAACTCTGACCTACACTGCCTTTAGTAATAGGGTTTTATTATCTGTTTCTGGTGGGCAGTATAAGAGGAATGATAAGAGCTGTTAATTTTTTGAAGCCTTTTGGGCCTCTATAACCAATGACTTTTATGGATGCATCTCACTCCTTACACTAATAATCCATGGTTTCTAGGAATAGCATTATTTAACCAAGCAGGATCTTTTCCTTTAAATTCTATTTTACATTCTTTATTTAATGTTAGCTTTAAGTTTTTGTACTGATTTTTAAAATACACAGCCCTCCATCCATGACTATTAATTTCTTTTTTCTATCAAAATCACTCTTGAATTTAATCGCCCCTCCATTTTTAATATCTATTTCCCTTAAGAGATTCCTCCTTAACGACCTTTTCCTAATTTTATGAATTTTAAGGCCTCCATGTTAAACATACATAAGAAGGACCCACATGATAGAGAATACATGATACACTTGTCTTCCTTGGACTAGATCAACTCACCCAGTGCATTAATTTGCCAGCAAAACCTTATTTAACAATAGAAATAAATGGGGTCTCCCTGTATGACTGATCAAGTGAAACGAGAAACCACTGTTATCAGATATTCATTTTCATGGATCTCAAAGTCACATTTCAAATTTAATTCTTAAAAAGGAATAATATTGTGTGTTTCTCTCTCTCTCTCTCTCTCTCTCTCTCTCTCTCTCTCTCTCTCTCT